CACCCAAAGCAGGTACTATCCTCGTCAAAGTTCTCGCGTGTGGTGTATGTGCTAGGTAAATACACGTTCCATTCGTACTTAGAGTCATCAACTAAGTTGCAATCTAACACAGCGATGCTATGGTCAAGTACGGAATGGCGGCACTTCCCCGAGTAGCTGGCCATGAAATTATTGGCGACGTCGTTTCAGTGCCTGCAGGCGAAACTCGTTGGAAAGTTGGAGATCGTGTTGGTTCTGGATGGCATGGTGGGCACTGTCATGAGTGCGGCTCGTGCAAGGAGGGCGACTTCATTACTTGTTCAAAAGAAGCTATCAACGGGTTTGTTTCTCTTCTGATCGTCTATATTGATTTCTTATCTGTCATGATAGTGTGTCCCAGGACGGTGGCTACGCCGAATACGTTACTCTTCGTACCGAGGCTGTCCTTCCTATATCCAAAGATCTTGACCCTGCTGAAGCTGCTCCCCTCCTCTGCGCTGGTATCACTACCTTTAACGCACTCCGCCATGTCCCCGACCTCAAGAAGGGCGATCTCGTCGCCGTTTTAGGTCTCGGTGGTAAGCTTATTGCTAACAGTACGCGTCACCAAAATCAGCTGATTTCGTTCTTGTGCAGGTCTAGGCCATCTCGGGATTCAGTATGCTAAACAGATGGGCTTCAAGGTTGTCGCGCTATCCCAGTCCGACGCTAAGAAGGATTTGGCCACCAAGCTCGGTGCCGACATTTACCTCGACGGATCCAAGGTGAACCAGGTCGAAGAACTCATGAAACTCGGCGGAGCCAAGGTCATTCTCGCCACTGCTCCTCAGGGTGATGCTATTACAACTCTCCTCGGGGGACTAAAAGTCGGAGGCACCATGCTCACTGTTGCCAGTAAGTACGAGGTTTATGTTCTTGAGTGCGTCATCTGATTTGCGCCTTCAGTTGCTGACCTTGAACTGAGCACCGTTGCTCTCATCGGTAAACGCGCTACCGTCAAAGGTTGGCCCTCGGGTCATGCCAAGGACAGCGAGGAGGCAGTTGCATTTGCTAAGAAGCACAACATAAAGCCAATGGTCGAAAAGTACGTTCCGCACCATTCCTCACGCTTCCTGTTTTTCTCATCCCGATTTGTCAGGTTCTCTCTGGCACAAGCCAACGAGGCATTTGGCAAGATGCAGAGTGGTCAGGTCAAATTCCGTGCTGTCATCACCCCTTGAGAGCGCTTCCAGATCCATGATTCAATGACCTCGCCATAATTACTAGAACTTTATGTTAGATACCCAAATGTACTGCAATGGATGTAATTAGATACAAGCTGTTGTTCAAGTACGAATATATTTTTACGACTACGCTACATCAGTGGCATGATCGTTGAGAAAGAGCCTGGCCATTTTGACAGACCTCCAAGCTTGAAAACCGTTTTTCACCCCAACTTACTCGGTATTGCTGTCGACTTAGATGTCAAGACCTGTCGGTACCAAGCGGTGACGGGCTCGAGATTCCTGCATGGCAATCCTCGATACTTTATTAACATGTCAATGGGAACGCTCGTGCGACGTGAATTGTGTCTCAATCTCGTGTCTCAAGTTCTGAGGCTCTGGAGCCCAGGGCTGAGACTTCACTTCTTATGTCTCATACCAACTACTCGCGAATCAAACACAATCACAACTTCAGCCATGAGTAACAGATCAACCCTACTATATTCAAGGACAGTGGGTGTAGTCGACCACCTGCTGTCCCGGGGCGCCCCCCTACTGACCTGCACTGACTTCATACAGGATCACTGCGGAGCGCAACTCGGGGCTACATCTCAATTCTGGATTCGATGGGCACAATGGGACCTAGACGAACGTTGACTGGCGACTTTGAGAAGACAAAACCTTGGACCAAACCAGGCTGGCACTGGACTACCTTGGACCCTTGGACCTATGTATACTTAGAACACTGCTATACCCACCAAGTGACGAGATGTACTTATCTGAGCAGACGTGCCAGATGCATCACCAAAGTCCTTGGTTTCTCCGTTCCAAATGTCTTGTACACCCTCTGAGCGGATGCACAGGGGTATACAATTCATTTTGCTGAATCCGAATACAAGTATGTTTTTTTCTTCAAAATTTATATAGTACCAAGATAGACCTTTCAGGCCATACTTAGTTTCGTGAGCTAGGTAGTCGCAAGTGAGAATCACTACTTCCGACAACGATATAATTTGAAGAGGATCAAAGTTGCTGTCTAAAAGTCCGACAAATGCAATCTCGAGGCCAATGTGTTTTGCTTTGAGAGTATGTACATAGTTATAAATCTATCTAGTGGCCCACAACGTTTAATGGTCGATACCTTCAAACGATAAATCAGCATCAAAGAAAGAGGAGACATTCCGAAAACTTACAGCTCTTCCAAGTAAGCAATCTCATTGGGTGAGAGCCTTTTATCTCCAATAATTGCCTCGTCTACCCGCTCGGGCTACAAGTGAAGAAATTGGATCAAACACACAATCACCATGAAGACCGCATAGGTTCTTACTTTGTTCAAACCGACGATGGGACTAGAGACCTTTGTGAGGATCCAGGCGAGTGCAACTTGGGACATAGTCCATTTCTTGTGCTCGGCCACTTCGGCTACACGGTTGACGATGGCCTTATCAGTCGAAGTGAGGACACGGTCGAATCCAGTGCCCTTGAGGGCTTCGTTTCGTGGTGTGGCCGTGCCGAGAGGACGGGCGAGATAACCTTTAAAGAGGTGTGAGTCAAAACATAGTGCGAAGTTGGAGATGACAAACATACCTGCGTGCAGCGGACCCCAAGGGATGACACCAATACCGGCGAAATTGCAGTATGCGAGCATCTCGCGTTCCTATATTAATAAAACCGCATCAGATTGATGATTTCTGGTTATTAATAGCGATTGGTGTACTTCTTCACGATATAAGAGACTGATAAGCTTTGGATCAGCCCCACAAGTTCGATGGCTGATTGAGATTGACAACAGCTCACCTCATACGATTCTGCATGCTGATAAACTTTGTCCATCCGTGCTTCTCCGCGACGTAATTCATCATCTGGAATTGCCATGTCCACATAGAGCTAGCACCCAGATATCTTACTTTGCCCATTCTGACAAGGTCGTTCAGGGCTTCCATGGTCTCTTCGACGGGCGTACTGGCATCGAATCGGTGGATTTGGAGGAGATCGATGTAGTCGGTCCCGAGACGTTTCAGGGAAGCGTCGACTTGGTTGAAGATGGCTTGACGACCGAGTCCGGACTGGTTCACGTAGTCCCGAGTGTTTTTGAGATAGCCCATGGCGAAAGTGTTGGCAGAGCTTTCTTCGTGGGTCAGGAAATAGCATTTTGTGAGAATGACGAGACGTTCTCGGGGGATGTTGTACTGTTCACGAAGAAGATCTGGGTAAACATCAGGGTTCTGAAGGATAGTGTGATGCTTACTTTCTTGATAGCCTTGCCAATGATTCCTGGGAGAAGTCAGTCAACATGATGTGTTTCTGTGATTATCAATCACCCACTTTCGGACTCGCCGTCTAAAAAGATCATACTGATCAGATACGATGATCCTTCCATCGAGGAACAAGATATACGCACTGGAGTAAACATTGGCGGTATCCCAAGTATTAACACCTCGATCCCAAGCGTGTTTCAAGAGAGGTAACGCCTGCTCTTCACCTAACGGCCAACCCTGTAATTCGCGGTCAATTCAGTGATAGCACCTGTACCGACACACAACATACATTCCAATTAGGATCCCCAATGCTATGAAATTTCACACTCAGCCGTGTCTTCGACAGCCTGAACCATGTAACTCACCTCATGGCACCCAAGATAGGTACACTGACCCTCAAGCCAGATTTACCGAGTTGCCTGTATTCGATTTTGAGAGCGTTGCTGAGAGCCATATCGGTTGTTGAAGTTGTAGAGTTTGCTAGATGGCACCCCCATACGCATACGCCATATATATACCACGGAAGCATTTTTTTTTCTCCAATCCCATCTCACGACTAGTTGGGTTAAATTACCTTGCTTACTACTATACCGCCCGAAAAGGACGATTAGTACGCAAGTTCAGGAACCGTGCATCGACTTAGTCAGACTATCAGGTTTTGGCTTTATCAGTCGAGTATAACCGGGGTAACGCCGCTGTTTTCGTTGGACGTGAACGCGTTCAATGGTTTCCTGCAGTTTTGATCGAAACGAGGAGTGGAGTCGTTGCCGTCCAGTGTCAGCCCGCACCTCATGGACAGCCAGGCCGGGAAAGGTGAAATCAGAGTGGGTGGTCGCTCGAATTTAGGCAAGCGGAAGCTTTTCTGAAGACTTTTTGGAAGCTGGTGGAACACGATTTCTCAATGTCGCAGTGTATTATAGATCCTTGTCAATTACGGTTGCTTGTATCGGCCTCGGTAGCCTCGGACTGGCGAATGAACCAGTTCGTTATGCAAGACTTGGGTCACTTCGTAGCAGGACATAGATGAGCAAACATAGAGCGACGAGGAGCGAGTAGCAGTGATCAGACTGGAAGGGAAAGGAACGAATCTGGTGATGAGAGTGAGTGAGGAGACGCGTCGAGCGAGAGAGGAAATGGTCCCGATTAGATTACCCGCTGCGTTGAGTGTATCTTCCCCTGTCAGTAATGATCTTATCGGGAGATCAGTCAAGCTCTAACATGAGGTTTGAGATATTGTAGTGCGGAGAGGTTTGTGGAAGGAATCCGGAGAGCCAATCGTCTTGCCTGCATAAAGAAGAGAATGAGACACTAATTAGACAGATGGTAGAGACATGTGTACTCTGGGATTGGATCTGAAATCGCATAGTGTCTTGTAGTTGTATGTCTGCATAGTATATGCCCATTGCCCAAATAATTTGCCATACTGTTTCCTGTGATGAATGTGCTTGACCTAGCGGCAGGGTTCAACGTTTTAGTAGGCGAAAATTTAACTTTCTGCAGAGGTCTTTGGTTGCGCATATGTAGACATTTATATATTCCTATGTCCCGTTAATTATAACAAGTCACTTTGCCGGAGTGGTTAACGGGATCGCCTGCTACTTCCCCGTAGTTGAAAGCGGTTGGGCTTTGCCCGCCTGTGTTCGAATCGCACAGGTGACGGCTGTTTTTGTTTTGTTTTTTGTCCAACGCTGCATTTTTCCACACAAATCCTGGGGTCGTTGCATAAATCTCCGACGATGCATTTATAGTGAGGAGACGAAATCAACAACCGTGAAGTGATTACACAAATGAACGTTGTACGGTCAACAATAGGAGTTTTTGCACTGTGACGTCACTCGGTTTACTTTTCTTTTCTGCATCTCATTTCTGCCATGTCGAATGTAAGTTATGTGTGGTCCAGGTTTTCAACCAATATCTCATTCAAAATATAGAACCCGTCTCCTTGTCAAGCCCAAGGTCGATACTATCCAGCTCACACCAAAATTTATCTTTAATCCATATTCTAGCCTGCAATCTTCAGGACTGCCTGGGGAAGAACACGTATCATCCAGAGAAATGCGATAAAATCCTCCGACAGTTGTATGAATGCTGCCAGGCGATGTACAAGGCTCACCCCAAGTCAGAATCTTCTGCCTGTCCTATACCTAGTGTAGTCGACCGTTGGATGAAGGACCATTCGAAATAGGTACATTTAATCCATCCTAAATGGTTCTTCGCTAGTATTTCTTCGCGGGCTTCAGCTGCTGGTGTACGAACGGCTTATCGGGTAAAATGTGCCGCTAAAGGGGAATATATCGATCCCGACTCCCGAGCTCGTTTCCACTCTCCTATACTGATCGTCGATCAAGTGTTTTGCGGAAGAAACGTAATATAAATCAACGGACCAAGTATTCTTATGCTCCGTATCAATGCAGTCCTCCTCCTCAACTGATGCGCCAACCGGTACTCCTCCCTCCACCACACCATCATCCTTGTATCCTCCTCTGAAAGATCCATGGGCCACGGTGCCCCTGCCCCCCGCGAAGAACAAGCCCGGGAAGTCAAACACAGCTACCCATCATAACGCCAAAACAGCGGTAGCACCACCACGGTCCTCACATTTGCCAAAATCATCTTCTCCCTTCGGGTATTCGTACCGCCTCAGAGAGCAGCCCCCTTACGGGCAAGGCATTTCTTCGCCTTTGCCGCCGTCACCATCACTGCGACCGGCCTCCTATCTTGCGAAACGTTACCAACGGCCGCAGAAGAACGAATCCAGGTGTCTGCAATATGTCTTGCCAGGATTATACATCGCATTTGAGAGTGACCGTATCTCATTCGGCCCTCCGACGAGCTCACTACGTATTCCTCCGGAGGAAGAGCTGAGAACGACCGACGGTGAAAGGTTCACGCATATTATTAAACTCAATGCCTTGAAAGACCAATCCCAGTCACCCGTCATTCAGCACTACGTCGCTTCTTACGAGACTCAGGTGTTAAACTTGGGTGTCTCCTCGAACTCTCCCAACTGTTTCGGACTACGCATGCGCAACCTCACCTCTCGAGTCGACGGAGTGCCCTTTGAGGCAGCACATAGGCTTTATACTGATCACAGAGACTTCAATAATGAGCACTACGGCGGTATCCCGTCGTTGACGCAGAAGCAGCTTCTTGCTTCAAGAGAGTTCATGCGCGGAACAGGACACGATTTACACCGGCATCAAGGTGCTCGGATCCTCATCACAGCTCCTCGAGACCATTGCACGGACATGATCTCCGTCCTCACCTGTTATCTGGCATACGCTTCTGGCAACACTGCGGCCATGGTGATACATGAGATAGACAAGCATGAGGGGTTTTTGGGAATTTGGAAGAACACCGTATCACAATATGCAGTGTCGATTATTCAGGAAGTTGTTGATATGCGGTTGTGTTAGTTTGCAGGTCGCTCTACATCCTCCTTTCCTCGTTGTGCACTAGTCATAATGCGACATAATTAGAGCGTAAATGCATAAAATTACAAGCGATACTAGCGGCTGTATAGGGTACTGTAACAACATATAGTTCATAGGACGGAATTATAATCGAACGTCGTGAGCATCAACTTTGAACTTCGATGGGCTGAAGTCTAGTAAGTGATTTAGACGTTCTCGAAGTACTCTGTAACTTGTGAAGCGTTTCACCAAAGGCCTTGCAATCAATACCCGTGTCGCTTAGTACATTGAGAGCAGTTGCACTGAGTGCGGCTGCGACGTCTGACGAATTCGATGATCCTCGTCGACTATTCCAGCCGGAGGATGCACCGGAGTTGAGCCATTCCTTGACTAATGGATGGTCAGATGTCGGAGCGAATGAACAGGTATTGAATAGTTCCAGCTGCTTGGTGAAGTTAGACGTGCGGTTAAAGAGAGGGAGAGCTACATATGAAATCAATGAGATGGAAGTTGGCTTCACATAGAAAGGTTACAAGTCAAATTTACCTTCGGTCAGCTGCTGATACACCTGCTCGAGTGAGTGTCCACGAGAACACATTACTGACATAGATCCTCGGTATTCGGAACTCGTCAAAATAGCACAAAAAAAAACTCACGATATCCATACGAAGCCAGAACGGCCTTGGATTCTATTTCCGAATAAACGAGAACCACACCTCCGTCAGCTATCGCCTGTTCGATGAAACGGCACGCCTCTGGCAAGGCAAGCAAAATCGTATCGCGTTCCTGCTGCGAATCGGAGATGTGATGGTGTTGGACGAGGGTTGTCGGACTCGGAATAGGCGTGGAAGGAGAAATGGAGAGCAGATGGGTGATACCAAACTCAAAAAGAAGGGACTGGGTTTGTTCCACATCGTCTGGAAACTCACTGAGATTGAGAGCGGACCGGTCAGAGAAGGATTTGATCAAGTGAATTGGAAGAGGAAAAGTAACGTGCCTGCTGAGGTACAATTGGTGTCGGATTATAGGAATAGTGTCAATCATCTGGTTTAAGAACACAGTGACGTCCTGTTCCTGTCGGCGCTTCCATGAAATGTATGCGGGGTGTTCAGTTGACGGGTTGTAGCCGCATTGACCGAAAGCGTCAAGCTGCTTGAGAAATCCATAATTGGGTTGAACGCAAGGTCGGCCTGGGTCGCGATGGTCAACGGCGACTCAAACAACGAGGAAATAGATATCTCTTACGAGTCCGAATCAACTCCAGAGCTTGGGACGGGTTGAGTTTCCGAGATTGCATCACTAAATTTGCAGTGAGAAAGAGTGGCGCAGGGAACTTGTGAAACGAAATCGACGCACAGTACGCAGAAAGAACGGTGGCGCTCCGGGACACACCCATCACACAATGAACCAAGACCTTGCCTCCAGTACTGAGAGCTTTTTGGATGAATTGACAGGCTTCGGGGAGGCGAATGAGAAGATCTTCATACTCGCTGTCGTCTACAGCAATCGTCAAGTGATTCATCCCCGTCGAAGGAAATTCGGGACAGACGGAGAGAATATGTGTTATTCCCAGTTGCTTTCGCAATTCGGAAGACACTGCAGCGGACAGGCTGTGTAATCGACACCGTTAACAATTGTCAATGCTAAAGAAATTGAAAAGCATGAATTATGTAAAATAAGCCTTACTTGCCAATAAAGAGCTGTTTGTCGACAATTTCGTCAACGCTGGGAGGGATGTTGGTGAACATGGTCGTGTCAGGAGTTGAAGAAGGATAAAGTGTATCTACAACTCGAAAGAAAGTAAATAAAGAAGCTATGTCAATGCCGCTCAAAGAGCTGCAGAAAGCGCGTGCACAAGCTCCACTTCTTACTCTCACTGAAGCCGATGTATTCTCAACTTTCTTACAATTTACCCTACTTCTTCATTCGCATGATTTCACTCCACAGTAGCAGAGGAACATACCGTATGATTTGTCTCCTCATCACAACTACAATTGATCCACACGCAAGATCTGATGGAACAAAATCATGCGATGTATATTGGCAGGGAATGCGGAAAGTAGTACATATCGGCTCAGTTCATGAGGGCAACTGGTTGTAAACGACACCGCTGGATCTACTACACCCTTTCTGTACTTATGCGGAGATCCCTCCTATTTGCAACAAGCCGCTTTGGTTATAAGTAACCCAAGCCCAAAGGGCATAGGTAACATTACCCAACAAATCGAGATTGGGCACCTATGATTGCGAGTCAGTACATTCAGGCTCAGTTCCAATAGGACAAAGCCTACCGTTGCGTTCTGAAGGAGAATGGTTTGATTGGCAGTGTAATTGTTCCTCGAGATCAAGAGGTTGGGAGCAGCATTTCCATTGGAAAACTCTCCCTCCAAATAAAAGTCGACGTAAAGAGGTTGATTTTGAGCAAGGGTCGAGTTGTACATGATTGTGATGCTCTGTTTACAGCTCAGAATCGAACATAGCAAGCAAGGCGGTACAACGGGGGACAACGCACTTCATTAGCTGTGAGCAGTCCGGTGGGAGTGACATTCACTATACCGAAACGGGCGGCTTCTTGGGCAGAAACGAAGGCCACGCTGGCAGCAGCAACGATGGTATAAAGAACGGAAAAGAAACGCATGGTTTGAACTGTTGGACAGAAACGTCAGCAAGTGGCGAATATCGATGGAGCACGAGTTACCGAGTGGAAGTGTTACGGTAGTAGCGAGTTTGAGAGCAACAGGTATCGAAAGAGAGTTAAGTCAAAAATTGTTGCAACAGTGGGGCTTTTATAACACCCCGAGATCAATTGATTCTTTGCGGCGGGCAAACGCCGTCGCGTATTATCATACATGTACATCAATAGACTCGTCCCTCAGTCGAGAATCGACATGTTGCAGCCAATACATACCCATTCCTTTTCGTGATTGGTGATGATTGGTGAAGATTTGTGTCCCGAGTCGATGGTCTTCGATTGAGCTCTTGAAGTAGTACAGGATATTGATTTCCAAAGCGTAATGCGACAGAGTAAGCAATGGCATTCTTGAAGGTAAAACCTCCGGCCCGCGGGCCATGTTATGCGATGATGTCAACCAGTTGTTTTCTTTTCTTCTCATGTTTCGACGAGCTTTTGGAAGCGTTCCTCGCCATCATGTTCTTCGGTCTCCAGCAAATTTCAGAAAGTTCTTTAGTATAACAGAGCCAGAAGTTCAGGTAAGTATGGTCACCATTTGCCCTTTCAATATCTGC